ACTCAGTGGTTTTTTATACCGCAGTTCTTGCAGGCTAGTAACGATAGAATTTTTTTTGTTCTTTCCCTCTCTTAGACCCCACGTTTTGATTAGACTCTGTAGTTTCGTGTATAGAAGGAGATTATCGTTGATGCTTACATAAGAAGGAATTTCTTACAAAATCGAATTTTTTAATATAACTTTTTTATAAAAGTTAGTATTATGAAAAAAAAGAAAATATTTTTCTCGAATTTTCAAATTTACAATTGTTTTTTTTTTCTCACATAAAGTGTTGCGCAATTGATAATTACGTCGCGCTTAAACACGCATAACTCGATGCGTACATACGTGTTTCAGTTTTCGGTTATTTGCCTCGGTGTGTGTACATACACATTCAGCCGCGAAATTACAAGTTGAAATTGATTTTCCGCGACATGTACAGCTACAACCACGTGCCTTTAAATTTGCCTGCGCACAATGTGTCTGTGTGTGCGTATGTGTGTAGCCCATCGGGTCATCGGCTCACATCCTTTTCACTATTCAGTCCTATTCTTTATTTTGCCAATAGTACATTCAGTGTTATGCCGAGCGTTAATCCACATCAGATTGGACGAGTTGTTCTATACGGTGCTCTCGCTTCTCATTATCAAACGGCCGCCGCCGCCGCGTGCGCTATGATACACAGAGATCCTCGCCGTGCTGTACACGATAACAGTCGGCGGGGGTACGAGTTGTCAATGTTCGCTGCCCTGTTATTAACGATCGAACGAATCAAAAACGATTTATCGTCATTTTTGAACTTTCAAATGAAACACGATATTGCGGCCCCGCGCAATTCTTGAAACTCAGCAAACTGGGTGGAATCTTCGGGATGGTATTGCATCATCATACACTGCAGTTTTATCGGCAAAAATCATGCCAACGTTTTCCTTCTCTCTCTCTCTCTCCTCACTCTCTTCTCTGGGCATAGATATCGTACAATGGCAGACATCGATAAACCTTTCAGCAACTATTTTATATTACCTGCTTCCGGATTGACGATCAATACGCGCTTCCTCAACCTGCTGCCCTTATTGCCAATTGTTCAGCTAGCTCCCATGCCTATACACACAGACATCCCGGAGAGAGAGAGAGAGCTATGAGCTTTATCATCCGATCATCCTGGAAATTGTTCGCATTTCATTCAATAAGCCATTCACATATGAACGCGCTCGAGTGTGTATGCAGCAGCACAGTAGCATCAACTCATAATACAGACACACATCCAGAGCCGAGAGAGTATAACTCAGCGATTCTATGTCTCCTCTTTCTTCCGACATATTGCGATAGATATTTCCGATATACATACGTACGGAGATTCAGCCGCGTATAGCTGCACTGTACGGGCATGTGTCGCGTGTCGCCGCTGCAGCTATAGGTCGCTGGCAGCCGTGCACCGAGGACTCGCGCGGGCGCGACACTCTCTATTTCATAAATAACACGAGCTGAGAAACATTTATTCATAACAAGCCCGACATTTTTCACCCGATAACGGCGGAATACCTGCACGCTCGCCTGCGCACGCTGCACAACGGAAAAATTCGTTATTACGCACAACTGTGTATGAAGAGTATAAACGCGCGAGCGTATACGACAACATTCAATTGCAGCTCGCGCGTATACCTGCTAAATGAAAATAGATTGGTAAATACATTCGAAGAGCTCGGCGTTTGAGTGTGTGTGTGTGTGTGTATGTGTACTACGGGAAGAGAGGGCTACTACAGTTACACGCGTTTTCCGCCGTAATTTCCCGCTCTAGTGTGTGTGTGTGTATAACAAAAACGTCCTAACGTTTTCACGTGTAGGAGCCTCGCAAGCACAACGTTTGTCCTGCAGTTATTCATCGACTCGCGCGCAGGCTTACTTGATTCGTAATATGCTATACTGCTCCTGACCAATTAAGTCAATTTTTTTATCTCGGGGCTTGTGCACACACACGCGCCACGTACGTCCGAAATATAGATACGCTTTATATAGCTATGTATGCGAAAATAATATATTTTCGTTTAAAGTTTTTAATTAAAGTAAGCTACGGTATAGCTCGCGTTTGTACGTACGTTGCACTCTCAGCCTTTCACGATGAGCATGCAGATACAGGAATAAATAATATATTTTTACGTATCCGTGTGTACAACATTTGTAATAATTTTACCATTTTTCGAATTGTAATGAAATTCAAAATATCGACTCACAATAAAATATCAAAGTATCGAGTCATAATGGAAGGCTGTGGAAAATCCGCTCTGACAAGTCATCTTTTCGATTCGGCATAGCCTTGTAATAGATATAAATGTTACCTATATATTTATTATAATCAAGTGAGACTTTGAGGACTGTGGGAGCAGTAGTCGGGTATATCCGCTTCAGAATTAGATATAGGACGAGTTTGCTCAAGGCTACAATAACGATGTTTGATGAACACTGGATAAACCAGACTCTGAGGCTCTTGTATCAATGTTGATTTGAAGAGAAATACATGCTTGTGCCTCATCCTATCTATGCCTTATATATATAAATACACACGTATGCTTGGGGTAAAGTACAAACAAAAGCTTTCCGGGCATATAATAGCAAAAGCATGTCGAATAATCGCCTGCGTCGTGAAGCTTTCTTATGCGGCAATTATCGAGTGTATCCTTTCGATTTTTGGATCATTATTCTGTTTTGTTTCCTCCCTCTTCCACATATATTATACGCCCAACAAAGGAGTACTTTGTTACTTTAATACTTTTTAAAATAAAAAAGTTTAATTGCATGTCAACTACGTTGCGTAAGCAAGGAAGTAGTTAATTGTCAAATATACATGCGCTAGACTTACAATGGAAAGCAGGACGCGGCGCAAGCGAATGGGGTTTCTAAGTTACTCGTATTGTTTTTCCTCGCACGTAGTGTACACTACTCTGCTCGGAGAAGAAAATCTTGTCTCTTTCATCTTTGTGGCTCGAGAATGGATAGCTCGGTGAAACAACGAAAGGGTTGGTTACAAACCTAATCTCCACAGAAATGATGTGCAGCTTATTAGAAAATTTTCTTTACTTCGTATAAAATACACCGTGTGCTCTTTTTTAGAGAAAAATTTCAATTAATCGAGAGAAAAAATGTTGAAACCCTACCCGATGATTATTTAAGTTACAACCATTTATGTCCTACAAAAGTATAAAAATTAGTTGTGCAACATTTTAAAAGCACAATCTCAAGCTGTTAAACAAGTCATCGTCAAAAAACGAAGGAATTACCAGATTCCTCTTAATTTTTTGAGCTCCACTTGTTCAACTCTTCATGTACATTTCAATAAAACTACACAATGAAGTGGAAGTAAAAAGTATGCAATGAAAGCTTGACACAGAATGAATGGAATTAATTAAGTGATATAAAGTATTCAGTTATCACGTGCCAATTATTGCATTGTTTTCCATTTATTCGGGAACTCTAGGAATATTATTTCTAATTTTTAACCCGATGTTTATTAGATGCAGAAATATTTTGATTATTAACATACGAAACTTGCGACCGTACTTTTGATGTAAATATCGATAAAAAATTCGATAAACATAATAAACATAAAAACGTGTATACGGTTTTGCAAGTTTTTCATTGTTCTATATCAAAAAATGACTTTCGAGGAGATCTTAAATATAAAACCACCATAAAATTAATAATAGGAGCACCACTGAACACCACAAATCGAGTACAAACCATTACCTGAACATACCTAACTTCGCTTTAGAATAATAAGAAAACTTTCCATAGACTTTTTTCTTAAGCAACTTAATAATCTTATTTTTTCTTGTATATCCGCAAACTTTATATAAGCACTCGTTGAACTAAAACTGATTGGAGTCTCTTTATTTGAATCAATGGATTTTGATACCCTAATAAACTGAATAGTTTTTCATACTTATTAATTTTTATACTAAAAACAATATGTAATTAGTCTAAATTTTTATTGTCAGGGAAGTTTAACTTGAAAATTGCTGATAAAATTTTAAACCCGGTAGATCCTGAACAAAATAATAATTCATTTGTATCACTTCAAAAAGTCTGTTGCTCTTATTTCACTTGAAAACTTTGTTGCGCCCAGCCAACAAAGACGATAGGCAGCTTCAGCAGTCTTAGAACGGCGAATTATTTTCTCAGCAAACAGATGACTTAAACTATTCGCTACTTCAACATGTAAATATATTTTGTATATAAAATGTGAGTTGATGCAATTATTCTTACTCGAAAGAGAACCAGCTTTTTTAAAGCTAAAAAGAAGCAAAGAGACAGAGAGAGGCAGAGTAAGCGCTTGCACTATGCTTATTTTCCGCACCGTTCGCTGTGGGACGATGATTCGAAGGAAGTGCTACAGAGCTCGGATGTATACCCAAGCGTTTAAAAGAGCTCAATTAAGAAACCAAATGAATAGAGCCGCGGAACATTACGACTCGCGGTATGCAAGCGGCGGCTGTTGCTGCTGCTGCTGCTGCTCAGAAAAGAGAACTAGCTCGCGAAGAAAAAGCTGCAACGAAAAAAGCTTTACACTGTGACATCGCGTCGTCTTTGAAAGCCAGCTCGAATCCAGCTTCAAGCGCTGCACCGACTGCAAAAAGTTTTCAGCTTTGTCTGTCTTTTTCGCGTATTCTCGTTGCCCCGCTCGCGCGCATCTGCTGACCAAAATAAGAAAAAAAGGCTGTGTAAGCAGACGATGCGATTATGCTGCAGTCCAGGGCTTTATATAATAATATTATCATTCTGCCGAGTTTCTTTTTAGTTTCACGGAATGATGCCAAGAACTGCGAGTGGCACTAGCCGATATCCCTTCGAGCCGTCCTCCCCGCCGTCGATTCAAATTTACTCGCTCGTGAGCGAATCATCAAAAGACATTCGCAGATTACTCCCTTTGATCCAAGCGCCTGGGATCATTTGAGCTTTCGGAACGCCAAATTGACTTGCATTCCGCGAAGCAATGATGACACTCTTTTTTCCCTCTTTTGTTGCAGGTGTTGAATGTTTAAAAAATGTCAAGCTCGAAGTCAGTCCTCAGGCGGTGGAACAAGGCCACGAAGCCACCCTGAGATGTCACTACGAACTCGAAGAGGCGCCCCTTTACTCGCTCAAATATTATCGAGGCTCCTACGAGTTCTACAGGTATTCGCCCAACGAGAGGCCTCAGACGAAAATTTTCAATTTTACTTGGATCGAAGTTGACGTGAGTAATTTATGCTCCATGTACTCGGCCTTATGGCATTTTTCAACGTTTTTGACTACTATTTGCAAAAACATATTTCAGTCAAACAAATCCGACGAAAGGCAGGTGACGATTAAAAATGTAGATTTTCTACTATCTGGGAATTTCAGCTGCGAGGTGACAACTGACGCTCCGACGTTTTCGACAGCGACCAGCACCAAAATCCTCACTGTTGTTTGTAAGTTTGCTCAGTCTATTTTTATTTGGTTGAAAAATGAAAAATATAAATTTTTTTCTAATCCATGATTCCATTTTATGTTTCAGCAATTCCCAAGGGAAAACCAGTGATACTTTCGGAACGAAGACGTTATAAGCCCGGAGATACATTGCGAGCCAATTGTAGTATGCCTTCATCTAAGCCTCAAGCTCAAATATTTTTTACACTCAACGATGATGTGGTAATAAAATCAGCATGAATATTAATTTATCGCAAAGGCTAGTCAAGGAAAATTCGCGTAGAAAATATAAATTTTGAAAATAACAATTTTTCTAAGAATACTAAAGTTTTTTAGGCTGATTTGAAATTTCATTAACCAATATTAATATTTTTTACACGAAAATAAAAAATGCCATTTACGAATTTTCTTTCATACGCCAGACCCATAATTTATTAAAATTATTTGAACAACTTTGAAAGTGATAAAAATGTCAAAATCTTGAGAGCTTCACATGAAGGAAAGTTAAAGCTCAGTTTTTTAACTGATTTGCATTTTAAATTTGAAAATGAAATAGTTTATTCCCTTCAACCATTGTTCATTAAGGAAAATTAAAACATTTTTAATAACGACTGTTCGTACTATAAAAATGGTTGAAAGGAAAAACTTTGAGAACAAAATCAATATCAATCAATACCTGAACAAATGTAACAGAAATAACAAAAATATCATACAAAAATATACTTCGTGAATGGAGTTAAACTTGCCGACAACGAAGTAAGTTATGAGTATAGGATTTTCTGTCCATACCCGTTGGCATAGATGCTCGAGCATAGCAGAGCTGACTCGACTCGAAGTATCGGAGTTCACGTTATGTGTCTTCGAGCCACTCGATTCTATAATTTATTGCGATGCAACTCCCATAAATGTACGCGATGCTATGCCGAACGTACATAAACGCGAGAGCCAGAATTCGAAAAAAGCTTCGTGACGTATCGGAAAATATATTTACTCGCATAAATCTCGCAGCGATGTTTGCATGTGTACCATATACATGACATATTCCTATTGCACAAACCACTCGTCGAAATGAAGTGGAGTTGCGGGACTCGGATGCAAAGGAAAAATTTTCAAAAGATCCAAAAACGCGGAGTAAAGGCAGAAGCTCAGTTGAAACTCAAATTTTTATATGAGTCCTCGATAAGGCACCAATTTGAGCTTCAATGATTTATATCGACTACTATAATCGAATCTATTTTGTGTAATAACCATGAGGATTTGCCTTATGGTTATTACACTTTTCCTTTTCAGTCGTTTTAGTCTATCTTCAATTGAGTTGGCTTAATTAGAAACTAGCCAACTGCAGTTATCGTGACGTTGCAGCGTGAGTAACTTGAAACTTTGACAGTGAAATAATGCCGTCTCGATTTCACTAGCTTCGGCAGCAGAAGCAGCAAAAGCGGAAACAAAGCTTCTGAGATAGCTGCTACGAGAAACGCTAGCATAACTATTCTTAGGAATCTCACTCATTCTTAAGGCTGTGATAAAATAGTTCCAAGTGTTGAGACACGCAATTCAACTTGCTTACGATTGTAATTAGTTCACAGCTTTATTGGTATTTTAATTTTCAATAATTGAACTATTTTACTGAGAATCGATAGTACAGCGATACGGTGAATAATTGAGCAATCCAAAACGTTGACTTTGTCGTTAAGTTTGCATGAATGACTTTGACTTAAAAAAGTAGAATGATCGGAAACTTACACAAAATAAAGTACAAATTAATACTTTTTGAATTATGCAAAAATCAACTTGGCTATAATACTAACATTTTTATAAATGCGCAATTCAAAATCGAGACTTTTAAAACGTAACTTTGTGGAAGATGGTGCACAATTGATGATTAATTTCAAATAGTAATGTAGAAATTGCTCATTCGAGTTTTGATCGATAAATTAACATATAAACTTCAAAAAGATTTAATGAGAATAAGATCTTATTCAAATCAAGATTTATAAATGAAAAACTTTGAATTTTGAATATCAGTTTTTTTATACATCGCACGATATGTAGGTATATGCACTTGAACTCTTTATTAAAAACCGGGCTAGTGTTACATTCATTCCCACATGAATAGCCATCCAAAATGTGCCAATGATTCTGATTCATACAAAAAACTACTCCTTACCCTATCGACTCTCTTGTCCCACTAATATTACCTTATTTATTTATATGTACACGGACAAGCGTGCAACAACATGCATCGAAAAAAACGTGTCAATTTATTCCCTGTTACCTCATGCCATTCTCTTACAGGCATTTTTACTTCTATTTCCTCCTTGGATCTCGGAAACGAGAGATCTCGAGCTGCTCCGTGCATACTTTCCCGATCGTTTCTTCTTTTTCGTCATAGCTAGAGCAGCTGCTCCGGCTTCCAACATTGATTTTGTCCTTTTTTCTAGTCTGCGCTTCGACTGCCGACTTCTCTTCTTTCGCTCTCGTCGCAAGCCTCGACCCGCTCACCTACACATAGAGGGTCTTTATGGCTTGCATCCCTCACGCTGATTTCAACTTTGCTCTCGTAATTTGACCGAACTTTTCACGCTCTCTTTCGCCCTCTGGCCCTCTTTCGAGCAAAAAATGTGCTTTCCACGACAGCTGTTACTTGCGATTGGGCTTACACACAAGTATCCAGCGAATATCATGTGTGGCCAACTTTTGCAATAGGAATTTTCGCCTCTTGAAAATCTTCCCAAGGCCCCATGTTGCGCGCTAGTTTATATTTGCTAATATAAGAAGCACAAGTGCTGCAGACTTGCACATGCAATACCCAAAAACGAACGCGCAATGTCAAAAATGTATTCGGGGGCGATGTATATGCTAGCGTGAATCACAATTTATAAATATCAAAATTATATCGTTTGTTTCCTCTCAACGCGTGTTCCTGGCTCCAGTAAAAGTCTGTAAAATACAAATACGCATGTATTTAGTTGCGTACTCAAACATTAATCGGTACAGGTGTACTTATAGGTCATCCGGCTTATTGTTCGGTGCTGACTTCAATTTCACAGTATCAAAAACTGGAAACAGGTTGCAAAATATTCTGAAATTATTTAAGGTTATTATAATGTCAGATAGAAAAAAATATTCTCTACCTTCTTTGAAGCTTCCCTCTAAATAAATTTTTCAAATTTTTTTAGAAATGTACAGAAAAGGAAATTTTAGAGTGCTTGTGTAATTTTGAGAATGCGTTAAAAAATTTTAGTAATTTAATAATTTTTGAAACGATAACAAAAAAATTCGTAAATTTTTTCGGATTTTTTAGGATATAAAACTATTGAATTGATATCATAAGATTAACTTATGATTTCAAACTCATCCTCATTATATTGTAGTTCAAAACTACAGCTTTTTTATTATTCTTCTGCTTCGATAAAATATTTTTCTTCTTCTGTAGGTAAAAGAGGCTTTTTTTTATTTATTTATTTAGGATCGAGTACCAGTGAATGACCATCGTAGAAAATATAATTTGAAAAACAATTGAAAATATATTTATATGGACTTTATTCAATTACTTAACAAACGGTGCATTTTGTTTTCTATGTGTGTTTATCATTTAAAAAGGAAAAAGAATAATTATGGCATTTTCAAAAGTGGTCATTTACTGGTTGAGAGCGGTCAATCATTGGTCAAAATACCCTATACGTCGAATCAACAAAACCCTCTTACAGCATACTTCATTTGAGAACATCAAATATCAATTGGTATAATAATTTTCATATTAATTTGTACAAATAATTCCTTGTATTCTTTTTTCATTCTTTTATGTAAAATAGCTTTTTGACAAGCCAAGTAGACTCACCCCCAATGGTACACGATACATTTGCAGTCCATCTTGCTTATTTATTCACGGGTACATGCCATGGTTTCGGCTACAATCTACATACTATGCGACATAAAATTTTATGCAGCTCATATCCGCAGCCGATCGTATCGTGGGAAAAGTCGGGCCACATTTATCGGACTGTTTAGCCGATACCAACACAGCCACACGACGTTCGCTGTTGCAGGGCCAAATTGTTTTTGTGGTATTTGGCTTCTTCGGTCTCGATTTTCTGTATCGATCTCACCTCGTTCCGGTGTCCTCGAATATTTTGCCAAACTGAAAAAAAATCAAATATTTCCTGTGCGCACGTGAAAATGTTTCGTGTTATTTTTTAAATGGCTGCGGCGGCTGAAAAATCGTCTAATATTTGAACGAGCCACTGCGTGAATCTACCAAAAGTTGCCCTGATAATTTTAAATATTTTTACTTATGCCTCTGCATTACACTCTCCTCTCTAAATTGTCTATTTTCATTCGTAATGACGCAGATCAACGATGCTTACGTCAGACCTCTGACTTTTGATACGAAGCGAGAAAAATCGAGGAAAAAGCACAGCAGCAGCGTCACCTCATCCAGTAGTAGATCCTCAACGATCGACGAGCCTCATCAGCAACAACTGCAACCGAGGCAAACTTCTGATCGTCAAGGTATTCAGTTAATCATGCAGCTACAAACGTTTCACTACGTTAGTGGCCAGTTGAATTTGCGATGCGTAGTCAGGATCGCTGACGTCTACGAGCAGTGGAGTGAACTTCAGCTGGGGAGCAACTTGCGAGAACCGATACCCGAACGTGGTGAGTATTTTGAGTCTTGATCAATTCCATTCAAAATACATAGCTTATTTGAAACTAACTGCAGGCATAGAAATATGATTTTCGCTATTATTCAACATAACTTTCGGTGCTGTCGACTGTACAGTTGAAGTAAAGTGCCAGCCAACGACTTTACCGTCAACAGCACCGAAGTTACACCACCTTGTTTTTACTCACACGTATTAACGTATGATCTTATGTCTCCCATTTGTAATAATATCCGGTAGGACACGATGCTCTCGCTTATCAAAGCGATGCGTTTCGTGAAATTGAAATACTAGCATTACTTCGTGAAAATTTTTAATAATTAATAACAATTGAGCAAAAAAAAATGCAAGACATGCAAAAAAAGGTGAATGTAGCTCCAAAATGATATCGTCTTACTCGTAAATAATCTTTTCTCAACAACTGTCTCCTTACAAATGTTCATAACATAGTTTGCCGTGGATTATGCCAAAATTCGGTCAATATAAGAAAGCTCTTCTTACACTGCTTCGCGCAGAAATTGAGACAATTAATGCTTTACGTATACCGAGAGGAGTACAATGAAACTCTAACAAAAGCGACTCGGCGATTTGTACCAGAGGAGAGAAAGAGAGAAAAGCTAAAACTTGTTTCACCCATCTCAAACTCGTCTTCTTAGCTATGCAAACTTTAACTCTTTAGCCCCTTTAACTTATAATCTCTTCATTGTACTGCTAGATCAAATGAATTAAACCCATCGTTTTACGCATAGCTAATAGTTTCAGACTATTTAAACATAAAGTTCAGTTATTACGTTTATCGTACTAAAAAGTAAGTCAGGTGCCCATCGAAGGTATAGCGCATTTTTTTTGATTTACGAAATTCAATTTGGAAAATTATTAACATCTATTATGTTCTTAGCAAAAATCAAATATTTTTTGCATTAAAGAAACTTTCTTCCGACTCTTTATTGGACAAACTGACTCATCAGTCATTTAATGGCTGATAAATAGTCAAAAAAACGTTTTACTAATGCTATATAAAAGGTGAAACTTTTACTAGGAATTTATGGACGAAAATCAATTGTCAGTGCGAAACTCAAGAAATTGAGATGAATTGAAACAATCTTATGCAGAGTTCAAGAATAATCAGTTGTAAAAGAAATTAATAAAATCATGCAGATTTTAGTTTTAGAACATAATGAAGTGAACCTTAGAGCCAAATTTTTAATTCTATTTTCTTTAACTCTGATAAAATTTTTTTTCAAAAGGCTCCGTCAAGGCTCATGAAGTGGTTAACTATTACGCCAAATAAAATAAAGAAAAAATCGCAATTTAAATGACAACAAAAAATATCGTGAAATGAAATAGACGCATATAATACAATAATATTCGTAATTTCCTACAAGCTACTACCATTCCAGTTCAACCTATGGTTTCGATTACTTTGCTCAGTTTGTTAATACTAATATTGATGCTTTATAGAAGTGCTTATAAGTTGGCAACTGTGAATTAACTGTAGTTGTCTTTAAAAGTTACAGCGCGTGAACAAATTTAAAAATTTAAAATTTTAAAAATTTTAAAGTAACTAGCAGAAGAAAAAAAATTTTAAGCTCAAAATATAATAAAAACTATATAATAAAATAATGGATAAGTGACAAAATAATCCTTATGATAAAATTTTATGCAATTTTTTCTATTCAAACTCTGCTTGAGTCGTTAATTTTCCAGTGCCAAAAAACCACGTTTATGTGCATGTTAACCAGTAATCAAACAAATAATTCAAATTTTACTCTCATTTTAGGTAGAAAAAAGTTTTTATCATCTTTAGAGTTTGAATCGTAGGTAGCATAGAGTTGAAATGAAAAACTAAGTGAATTGTATAGTGAAAAAAACTAGTGAAAGTTTTGATACTCAATCAAGCAACTGAAATAGTTTTTAGAGCAATGAGCTGTGCATGTTTTGGAGTAATCACGATAGAATGGAATAGAACTTGGTAGTTTTACAAATACTTGAACAAGCATAAAACTTGAACATTAGAAAAACTCGTTTTTTCAGGTTTTATCATCTTATTTAATTCTGAACCATATTTTATTTATTTTTTTTAATGTGTTTTTTTTTCTATTTTTATAATAAATTATTTAAACTTTTGTCAATATTGCCAATAATTGGTGTTTTTAAGATAGAATAATATTATAAATTTTGTAGAATATTTTCCAAATACTACTTTCCACGTGACATTTATTTACTTGAGCTAAAATACCTTGGCAGAAATGATCAATATCAGTAATAGCCTAATGAACAAAAATTTACCTGTTAAAATTTTTTAAATTACCTTGTCTTTAACTGAGTTGTTTTTGATGATTTTTCTATTACAATTATGTTACAATAATAGAGCTCATTTTAAATGACGTATCAATAACAACTTATGGTTTCAAAATTACTATAATTTCATAATATTACTACTTTAAGCCTTCACGACTAAATGGCAAGTACCATGATCTATAAAAATTCCGCAAGTGGCAAAGTAAAAATAAATGTATAAGTCAAAGCATCTCTAATAATCCAGCAATGATAATCTGAAAGGATCTGAATGGAAGGGTGGAACAAAAATAAAAATCATTTTCTTTAGGGACACTATTACGGTCATACAATGTTAAAAAACTTTAAACTTCTGTTTAGTCGAGTTCTAATGGTTCTTTTTCATAACAGCGGCCCGAAAGTGACTACTTCCCTGCCGCTGCGCAAAGCGGAAAGAGCGATTTTCGGGACACTGTGTATGAAAAATAGTATACAGGCCTATGCCGCGAAAAAAGAAAGCCCCAGAGTACGTGTTTATCAGCCTAGGCCACTAATTACTCTGGGACTTTTCTGTTTTTCGCGGCCTAGGGCAGTAATATACTATTATTTCCACGAAAAATTTTCGTTGACCAAAAACTATTCATAAAATAAACGTAATTAATATGGACATCGATAAAATGATAAGAATTTCTACTGAGAAATTTAAAAATTATTAAAAGACGTGAAAGTAATATTCTCCCTATTTCACAAACAGATACTGCGAGCTAATATCTCACCTTTATTGCATATTCTTTGTATTCCTTCATTATAACGTTATTGCAGAAACCAGGATGTTTATCATGTCCATCTCAAAAAGCATTTCGATCATGAAATTATTAATAACAATAATAAATAATTTGTTTAAAATAAATGTGTTTTTTTTTTAATGTTACAGTGAGGTCTGAGAACGCATGTAATCAATGCCATACAATAACCAACTCCATCATTTTTGGACTTATGCTACTCATTTTGTATACGAGATAGTCGAGCTTCCTTGGATCTCGTTGAAATCTTCTGTAAAAAGGGATACTAATTTCCATCATTTTCCTTTTAGTCCTTGGGTAAAATATTGCGACTAATACAGAATATTCTTACATAAACAGCAGTTTTGTTGATGTTTCGTTTGCCAAAAATAGGGTCGTGTCTCTATGTGTCTAAGCTATTAATACGATATACATGGTACCTACGTATGCAAATGTAACATATAAGTGAGCATATTCAATTGTATCGAAAGTGTGTAAATAATAGTTAAGTGCATAGGATTAACGTTAAGTTTTATACATATAGATTACATACATTGTTAAATAAATGAATAAAGTTTTTTTGTTATAAAAAAGCAATCTATTGTAACTAAAAAAAGTCTTGGGCTGAAGCGGCAGTTACTAAGAAAGTATACAATTTTATTGCTGAATTTTATTATAAAATACCATTCGTAAAATCAGCTATCACATCCAAATTCATTTGAAAATGATAAAAAATGTATTCTTTTTTTCCACAATTTTGTCATTTTTTTGCAGTAGGCACTGTTTAGTTACCAATCTCTGAAAATTTATTTTCAACCGTTAGAATAAACACGATAAAAAATGATGATAAGTGTTCAATAATATAGATAAAAATGTATAAATATAAATCTCAATAACAATGTATTATGTAAATAAATTTTTTTTTCAAAACAACTTTCTATTTTTTAAAGAGTACCTTACACATTTATTTTTAATGAATCTTTAAATTATTAATGTCATGAAGCATTTCTTAGATGAATCTTGATAATTTTTATTTTACGCAAATGGTCAGAGCATATAATTAATTACCATCATCGATGAAGGTCTTGAAATTCATTGGCAATCAAGACAAACTGTGCAAGTTAGTTACAAAACTCATTTCAGCGCTCATCATTGATACAGACCATATATGTGTGGAGCACATGCCGTTGCTCTTTATATACATCTCGCTCGGAGGCCATACAGACCAAATGAGGTGCCATCACTTATTAATTCAAGGTATATGGTATAGTCGGTGTAAGTGAATCGCTTCTGTCTTTGATGGGGCACAAGCACTCAAGGGGTGTATAGTCAGTTCCATTTGAGCAATCGACAAATTTCAAAGGACGTCGCGCGGACGCGTCGGAATCAGAGAGAAGCCGATGCCGCCGCCGCCGCCGCCTCTGACCTACACTCGGAAACATAATTGACCGCAATCGGACCACCTCGAAACAAGATAATTATGCTCGACAAGCTTCCGTGGAGCTAGGCCAACACCGTGACTCCGTGTGCGCCGCTCTCCTTTGCGAGCGTTATACATCGCCTCCACGTTGGCTCGCTGCATTACGGATCGCTGCATTACAGATCGCTGCCTTCGTTTGTGTTATTTTGCATACAAACAGTCCTCGCGAACAGGAGAAAGAATTTGAGGAATTACAAACAAAAAAAAAGAACTGCGCCGCGCATAATGCGCAAGTGGAGTTTAAAGCAGTTTCGAGCACTAAACTCATTTATTCTTTTGAGCTCACTCAGTTTGCCGTTGAAACAAAGCCGTTTGCAACATGTTTGCTCGTTTTATCGCATGTTTTAGTCCGTGCATTCACTTTGCCGCATGCGAATCAATAATATGCCCAACACACGGTTTTTTTTTCATACCGCAATGTGAAATGGCAAAGCTCGCATGGCTGCTGCGTTCAAACGATCATTCCTTTTTGACGCAAACTTCGGTCTCGAGGCCGTCATCGTTAGCATCTTCTATTTTCATTTACCGCGAGATCTTCTGGTAATATAATGAGAGGTGCACTTGAGACGTTATTCGACAATAGTGTATATCGGGAGCCCCACGGGGACTCGCTGATGAAGGCGCGCGAGAGGCAGCCACTGCAAAAACAACAGAGCAAAGCGATTTCTAGCCTACGTTATATTATTTTATTCGCAGTGAAACTTGGCACCTTCGACGCGTTGGTTTTGCGGGCTCGAGCGCACAAAGGAGCTTACGTGTTATTGTTTCTCGTGGGACGGATAAAAGGGAAAGCTCTCCGCGGCCGCCGCCGCGCGCCTCGATATATACACCTCGTCTACACTGCGTATATAGCTTCGAGCAACGCAAGGGAAGAAAGACGACACACAAAAGGAACTTTTAACGATATTCAAATTCATTCCTCAAATGCTCGAGTTCACACGTGTGTGTATATGTGTATATGTGTGTGTGCGTGCAAGTCGAAGCTAGAGTTGCAACGATAGCAGCTGCACACTGTGTACCTAAGAGTGGGTAAATAGAAGAAGCTGCAAGGGCTGTGTAGATCCCTTATCTTTCGGTACGTGAAACTTTTGCCACTATTATATAGGTCGGATTCGTAAATTTTTCGGCGCCGAAGCGATACAAAGCTCGATTCAAGAAATTTTTTCCCAACTTTTCATTTCTGATAGTCCGCACTCATAGAGGCGTAATTCGTCTTGTGCGAAGAGGGTCGTAAGTCACGTAGAGCCGGCCACTGGCTGGGCAGCGATCATCGATCTTGTCACGATAGCGGAGAGCCTACTTTCCGTCACGTCACGATTTACACGCCCGCCGAAATTGTTTACGATATCAAATTGCACGGAGGTTTGTATAATTCCTGATGCAGAGTGAGACGTGCGAGCGCGCACATTTGATCCGGCCGCGTCACTTCGCTGCCAAGTCCTTGCGGGATTAAGTGCCAACTTCCGCCAACCGAGTTTATTGTTGTACTGTACGTTGAGCCGAATTACTCAGCAGTTTCACGCTGAAAGAGGCAGCAGAGAGAGAGTATATACTCGCACGCACTAGGCGCCCCTCTCATTTATCCTACGTACGATGAATTCATGGTGTATAAGACCCTCGTGGGTTAGGTATGTATTCTCGCATGATGGAAGGGTGAAAAGTCAGAGTGGCAGTATATATATCTGGAGTGATGTTGAGCGATGATCGGTGCTTTGAGCGCGAGACCTCGCGCCCATTAATATAATATCAGATGAAGCTGCACTTAGGAAAATTTTCCCGAAGGCGGAGCTTTCGTTGAAATTTTTTGCTGCGCTGCGAAGAGATCAATCGATAATTTGGCACGCGGCGCGCGGCCCCCGGACGAGCCATGGCTACATGAGGTGAATAAAAACCCCGCGCCCGAGTCTGATGAGACTTTGATTGCTTTGTTGGATCAGAGTGTGTAAGCGGAATATAGGACGAGAAGCTCATCGATACGATTTCTAATTGGCACGCTTCAGCGGAATCACGCAAATTGTGCGCTTCATCGAGCCATATACATTTATTTATTGCAATTGCTAAACAACCGTGGATGCAGCGCCTTGAGGCTTCGTTAAACGCAACAAAGGTTGAACATTTGAATTAAAACAATTTTTATTTACTTTCGCACGGTGTAACGCTGAGAATTACACAGAGATTCGAGGTTGTTTTTAATTTAAGTAATTAAGCGAGCAAAAATATATCGGCCGAATTATCTGGCATCGCGCAGTTTGCGCTCGGCCCATAGTTTTTCACTTGCCTCATCATCACATCGCGTTGTGTTATTTTCCCTGCTCACTCGTGCGAAATTCTCGAATCAGCGAATTGTTATTGCGTGCGTTCACGCTGCGGTTTCGCTCTGTTGTACTCGCATAAAGACAAGTTTTATATCGCCCAGTTTGCAACGTTGGAAAGTTTTGATAACTTAAGCGAGTCAATTTGCTGGCAACGGAATTTTATCTCGCGCGGGGTTTTTGTTTTCAAATTTTAACAACTTACTTTATTAAACACATTTGCTTGATTGGATGGCATTATATATCGATGAACCTTTGAGTTATGCGGGTCTCCTACTATCAACTTTATTTAAGTGTAACTGAAAGAGAATATTGCCTTCGACAACTCGAGAAAATGATGCACAGAGTCAAAAGCATGTGAGAAAGAAAAAAACAAAAAGGGAAAATGATTGAGACGAAGAGGCGATTACTTTTCAAGAGAGAAGCCGCAAGAGTCATCGCTCTTTTGGGGTTCCTGTGCAATCGCCGGAGATGCGGTGGTTTCCCGATTCGTCGTAAACAACATTAAACTTATCTTCTCATTTGTTCTGTATTCTGTTCTGTATTCACATAGGCTCATTTGCATCGTGCACTAACCTCACTTCGTTGTACCCGAATGTGCGACTTATAACTCGGAAAAGGGTGCGTAAATGTGAACATAGCACAGTGTTATAAAATTGAGTTACTGCACTGATTAGATAGAAATACCGTTTCGTTGGCAGTAACGGGTCCGTTTCGAGGTACGAAACGGATTGAAGTCGGCACCTGGAACAGTCTGGGAAGCACTTTGGCGTTATGTTGAGTGTCAACTGTAATGAAAACACAAAAGAAACACAAAAAATTCATAGGCGCGTGGGCTGGCCACTATAGCGCAGTATAATTAATAATGTTTTTGAACACATATTGAATAATAGAACTGATATGAAGGTATATATCAAAATTCCTCAAAACTCAGCCCATAAAGGATACTTTTTTGAAGATTTTGATTCCTATTAGGCATGGCCACCTAAATAACTCTGATCTGAACCTTGCTCACAGTGCCGAAAGGATAAAATAGCAAAAATAAGCTATTTAAAGATGCAAAGGACTATTCTGCAATTTTTCACATTTTTTAGGGCTCAAAGATGTCAATTTTATGTTGAAAATGTACATTGACATTAAACTGTGGTTTATTTTAAAAAAATGACAAAGAGGAGTGAATTGGTGTATGACTCCCCTTAAGCTGAAATCTTTAGCATATTTAGCACTATTTAAATTCATATATTTCGAAAGAAGTAATATTTTTTTATTTTTAAGATACTTTAAGAGATATTAAAAAAGCTCGGTTTACAATGTACATTGTACAATGATTAACAAGCGATCAATAATAACAACATCCCTTAATTTAATAATTTGTAAAATGATCCGAATTGCCTCGCGGATTTCGAAAAGCTCATGAAAACAAATGCTCACTTGTAAAAATATTAAAAAATCTTGTAATTTCAGGTGATATTGCATCAAGCTTCTGTTAAGGTATTTTTGACTCTATCTCTCTTTCTGTTTGTTTTTCTCGGGAGATTGATCGTCGAGTGAATGTTCAAATCTGTCGAAATCCAACTCATAAATTTATGAAACTTTACTCATTTCTCTCATCACATGACTGAGTATGTAGTAATTAACGATGTTGCTAGGAAGTTTTCCTTGTGGAATACATTTATAACCCCCTGAGATTTTGAGTACATTAACGTTAATAACGTTATTTGTAATTAAATATGGAAAAATTTCGATCTCAATTTGAGGTAGTTTGAATAGAATTGAAAATCGATAAGCTTCATTCTATCACAGTGGTTTTTATATTTAATGTCTATACAGACTAACTAAGACAAATGAAAATGATTTTGGGCTTAATTAATTTTTGAAATAACTGACAGGTTGATCATTTAATAAAGCATGTTCGTTATTGTACCTGTTTTGAAATCATCTAAACTCTCTGAATATATTGCATATTCCTGATTTAATTTTTATACTATAAAAAACATTAAAACTATCCAGAAAATAATATTTTA